TATTAAAATGTTTCTCAGACAGAGTTGACTTTCAAAGACAGGGTAATAAATTACATGTCAGTTCTAAGCTTTAGAAATCAAACCATATTTGGGAAAAAATGGGGACTACTTGCTACAGTGAGTTAAGACACCATGGTACCTGGCTCAGCATCCTTGAATAGGCTTCAGTGGAATTACGAACCTGCAACATATACCATTTCAGATGCAAATAAATAAATAAAGCAAAAAGAGATTAACAACAAAAGTACCCAATGAAGGTGTGCGAGATGGAAGGAAGGAAAATTCTCCTGTATCACTTTGCTTCAGTAACATCTTCTTACACACTCTTAGCTGCATTCCTAACAGTTCCTAAGAGGGTGATTTGGGATCCTGGAGAGGGAGATTGTTCAACATTTTCCTGAATGACCTCCATTTAAGCTGTCCTAGGTGAGCTAGAGAGGTTTTCTTCTGGGAATACAACCACTGTACGTAGAGAATTAGAATCTGCAGCAAAGGTGCTGCAAGATACTGCAAAGGAAGAAGATCTGAGTGGACTATGAATACGTGTCCTGTCAGTCTCCAGCTTCAAAGTGTAAGATGATGCTGAGAATTATCTGGGAGTAATAATCCATAGAAATGTTCACATCATATTTACTTTGTGAAGCCAGACAATAAAAGATCCCATGCTATAAAAACTCAACAGTTCCTGTCACTTGTTCAGCATCTTGGTGAACATCAGGAGTATGTGAACCTGAGACCTGTGCCCTTGGAACCGAAATGCCTTCTCCTCCAAGCGTTAATCCCATGCAGCCACTCTGTGCTCAATCATACAGGGTTACATTTCCTCCCTGGGATTTTATGAGACATTCAGCACTGCCCAGTGTTCAGAAATGCCTTTTTTTTTTATTCTGTAACAGTACAAAAGGCATCTTCTAAGCGCAAACACAAAATCCTGTAATTAAACCTTTGTTACCCACAGCAGAGTGCTCATCATGTATACAAAGCAAACATTTTGGCAAGTTTATTATGCTTCTCAAGACTAAGAGGGAATTAATGGCATCGCAAAATTACAGCAAGCTGCTTGCAACACTGCTGCTGGATATTTTCACTGGCAACAAGATTTTATATTCCTCTTCATCTTGAAAAAAAATGCAAGAGATTTAATAAAGTTTTTTACTCTCAAAGGCAACACACTGCAAAACGCCATATCAAAGTAAAGGCCAGAGGGATAGTTTGGCCTCAAAAATGTACTTTGCTGTCCATTAAAATAATTCAGTTGTAGTTTTTTTACTTAAAATTACTAAACACTAGAAGGTAGCTAATTAGGATAATCCAACTACTAAACTGCATAAGTCATCAAATCTAGAGTTTCTGCACTGAAAGACGCCAGATATGTGCTTTCGTTTGCATTGTGTGTGGTCCTTCACCGCTAGGAAGGACAACTGCTTGCAGACCTTCTCCTTGCTCGCTAGACAGAAAGCCAAAGATGTCTCATGCAGTACTGCTGGGAGAGGAAACTTCTATTTTTCAAGTCCATTTTGGTTTTGTTCTTTGACTGTAATTCAAACTATGTTAGTTTATGTGCGTGAGTCATGAACAAAGGGTGAATTTTTACATTTTATTTCCCTGTTAGATGTTGTGTATCAATAATATATATTGCAGCTGCCTGAGCAAAGTCGATCAGCCTGAGTCAGTCATATTGCTTCTCAAGTGGAAAAGTACAATGATGTCCTAAGGAAAGCTGATCAGATCTGAAAGGCTTTTCTGGTAGTATCGAGTGTGAAACATAAATCAGTATTCATGCAAAGAAGAAAAATATATTTATTATTTACCTCTTTCCATTGCTACAAATGAGCCATTTGACCAAAGAAGAGTACACAGGCTCTAAAACTATTTTCTGCCTACCTGCTGACAAGACGGCTATATTAAAACCTACTGGCATGGCCCTTTGGCTTAGAATGAAGAAATTCAGGTACAGGCTGATGCCTTGACAAAATAACAATTCTCCTAGCCATCAGATCAGAGGTCCAGGTAGCCAAGTGTCTTCTCCTGCACAATGACCAGGGCTCTTGGCAGTGGTGGGAGAACATGAAGATGACAAGTCCAGCAGTCACAGCACCTCCCAAAGCCTTTCGCAATCACCCAGGCCAAGGCCCTGGCTTTTATGTTGAGTAGCACTTGATGGATTTTTGTCTTCCACTGATTTTTCTAGCTGCTTTTTGAAGTTACATAGACCTTTGGTGTCTACAGCCTCCTGCAGCAGTCAGTTCTAGTGTAATGATGCACTCTGTGAAAAGAAGAACTCAATATTACTGCTTCTCAGAAGCATACTTTGTGCTACCTAAATTCCTCCATAATTATGGCAGAATTGTCAGGATCCTGAGTTTGTTTCTCGTAGGCCTGAGCATCCCATGGAGCTGTGGGTAAAGGTTGCTCATGGGCTTGTAGGGACTCACAAACGTTGCTGCCACTGCTCACAGCTGTCATTTGCACCCAGTCCATGCTAAAAACCAGAAGTGAGTTGAGCCAGCGGAGACCCTAAGGCAGCAACACCTGGACCATGTCACAGTCAATGGCAAAGCACAGGTGGATGCCCCCCCTATGCTTCCCATCTCAGTATGCTCCCAAATTCAGATCCCAAATGCTGCAGGAGGAGTAGGGCTGTGCTTTGTGAAGAGCTCATCCCCACCTCACCTTCTCCTTGACATGACTGCAAGGCAGGGAACACGGTGCTTGTTCTCCTTGAGATTGTGCAGGTCTTGCCTCGATACACAGAATCACAGAATTACAGAACGTCAGGAATTGGAAGGGACCTCAAAAGATCATCTAGTCCAATCCCCCCGCCGGAGCAGATACCTCTACCTTTCATCTCCGTTATTCCTGAGCACACGTCTATGAAAACAGGAGACAGTCCAACAGATCTGTAGTCTTCCCTATACAGCTGCACAGGTCATGCTCCAGGAACTTGGTCATGATTTAACAGAGTTTTAATCATTTTAAACAGGGAGAGAATTGTAAGGAGACAGATGGTACCTTTAACTGCATTTTCTGAAAACATCATGCTCTTAATAATTAGAGAATACAAATTTGGCCTTTTTTTAATATACCAAGTTCCTTTAATATAGAAACTTTTTTTCAAGATTGCTACAAAAGGTAATAGCATATCTTAAAATTACACTTCATACTAATGAGTTGTTTATTATAGAAAGGGTGTTTTGGGGAGAGAGAGGGAGTTAAGAGGTTGTTTACTGTATCTGAAAAATGTACCTGTTTCAACTGTAGGTCCTAGATTATGATTTGAATACCAAAAAAAAGGTAATCGCTTGAGATGAAGGACTGTATGCTTGCTCACAGGGAAGCAACGTGAACGTTGTTTGCACAACCAACCTTCAGGCAATTGAGCCCAAGGTTGCATGCCCTGTAATTAAGTTACTATTTATGACAAATCATATCAAACTTGTTTTTCCTCCTCCTATTTTTGACAATGAAAGACAACCTGTCTGAAAACGGTTATCAGCGTCTTGGCTATTCACATGTTGCAATGCTCTGTTGCTTTATTCATTACAAAATGCAGTTGTCATTGCTGAGGGAGCTCAGGTTTTCCTCCCCACCTCCTTAGAGAAGACAAGATTTCAAAACTGCAAATACAGGTGTTAAGAAATCCTAGATCTCCCAAAGTCTCCCTACTTTTAACCAAAACCAATGTTAATGTGACAAGAAAAACAAAATCACAAATAAGCTTAGGGAGCTAAGGTAGCACTTCACACATAGGTACACAAAATTAAATGCTTGCCAGAGCAGTGGAGCATTTATTTTGAAAGAAATTTGCTAACAGCATTTGTTGTTTGCTTCTTTAACTCACAGGGAGGTCTGACAATATATTCAGAGTGATTTCGGTCAATCAGCGGCAATGATTTCCCTTGTCAGTCTCGTTAAATGGGCGAAGGTGAAGGTGAAGAGCCCAGGAGACTTCGTAAGTGGGAGTCTCAAACTGGTGCGGGAGACTCAGGCCAATGAGTACGAGATTATTATATAAAGGCAGTAAAGAACAGAGATCCCAGACGTTACTATTTTTTTAAATGAGAATAATTAAGATTATGTAGGGGGTGATACATGAAGCTGACACTGCAGTGAAGTTCAGTTTTTCCCAGCATTTCAGTTTGGACTCTAACTGAAGGCTTTTCACTACTCATTTTTTAAACTAAATTCCTAATACTAATACAACTCTCGTAACTGAGAATGATGAATTCACAAGAAGGAAAACCAGTTGCAACCTGATAAATTCAGGTAGGAAAGTAACTGTGAGCGCACTGATGAGCTTCCAAATGCAGTTCAGTTTCCTTACGGCTCACCTGCATGCAAACATTGTGTAACCAAGGTAGCTCACAGAAGGAGCGGAGGAATTTTTATTCATGGTCACGCATAAACGTGCATATTTGTGCCTCATGAAATGGAACCTAAGCCCAGAAACTGGGATGCTTGGCTCAGCCAGGCAAACATGCAGCTCAGGCAATACATTTCAATGGGGCATTTGCTAGCAGCTCCTCATGAACACCTCCACAGGCCAAACAGCTTTGACAGAAAGGGTGTCAGGCAATTCCAGTGAAACCCAGCAGCAGAATGAGGATGTTAATGCACAGTTTATAAATGTAAACAGAGAAAACCATGACCAATAAAAGTTTCCAGCAACAAGTTCAGCAAAGTTTAGCAAAGATCTTGTTTTGATGGAAATGTCATTAAAAGCAAAAAAACCCCACAGGAAATACATAAGGCAAAAGTTTTATTTTCCAAAGTGTAAGTATGTCCTTAGCATAATTTAAGTAATCCATTGCCACTGCAATCCTGATTGCTACAAAGTTGAAGGTAAACTTTTTGACTGCACCTATTGCACACTTTCTCCACAGCTGCATAATAAAACCCTTCTCCTGTATCAAGAGATTCTTCACTGTGATTAGCTGGTCTGTAGAAGTTCAGTTAAGTAGCTGACTTAATTATGAGCGATGCCATTTGTTTGCACCGTTCTATTTTATAATCTGTGGCATATCACTCCAAGCTTGCGATTTCTTTTTGGCCAGTTCCATCCATGATGGCTGATCCGCAGCAGCATTACTGGCTTTCTTCAAGTGGCTTATTTCCTCTTTATCCACCGGTGCTGGTGATGGAGCTACTGAGAGTAAAACACACGGACATTTTATGTTCACTTGCTGTGCGATGATACAGCCTACCTCCTTCATTAAAAGCTTCCCATGCCTTGCCCTACAGTAAAAAATCTTTACGTTTCACAGGGAAGCTTCTTCTGCAATATGTTATTGAGGCAATAACCATTCCATGCTCAAAAGAACACAGTGTTTTTCTCATTAATAGTATCTTTTGGTCTTTAAACTTACCAAAACCAACATGAAGACCTGGGTTCCTTGCCATGCCCTGTGTTTAACACCCAGGCCAAATAAGAGAGAGTCTTTTCATTAGCAAGAATTTGTGAATTCCTCCTTTACCCAGCGCCCAGCTCACAAGAATTTTATTACCTTCCAAAGTTCTGCCCTTCTTTCAAATTTGATCACATAATTCCAGCTTGCTGAGGAAACCACATTAACATTGAATGCATTTTGCATGCATTGTATGTTTTACACTGTGATAATGAATTTGGGACCCCATTCTGTGAAGTGGACAAGCACTCTTGATTCATATTTCTTTCAACACAAGTTTTGACTGCTCTGTAATCAAAGTGGTCAAAAGAATATGCCCCCAAACAGAACCCTAGAAGTGAGTGCTGAGAAAAGAGTTTGCCCTCCTGATATGGGGCTGGGGGAGAAAATACAGTCTAACCCCTACTCCTTTTCCAGCACACCCAAGCAGGATTTCTTCTGACAAGGTTGTGAGATAACAGGCTACATTTTAAGCATTTTATTTCCTACCAGGGACATAATGTGACAGTGAATTGGTTCTCAGCAACGGCTCCTTCACTTCAGACTTTGTCTCCTTCCTCTGTTCTTCAGAAGTGGTTTTAGGTGCCAAGTGTGAAGGTTTGCTCCATTGCTGCTTCACTGACCCCTAGGCATAGAGAAGGATAAAATTCAAGTAATGCAAAGAGAAGGAGACAGGTTTGGAAGAACATGAGCACAGGGAGTGGATGTGATGTCTGTCATGGGCCAAAGACCATGGGTGCTTATCACACATTGATCCCAATCCTCTCACTTGAGCTGGTACCTGTTCAGAAAGCTCCAGTGGTTTCATGTTAGTGACCATGACACTCAACGTTACAAATTATAACTATCCTCCTCTATCTCTTGTTCAAAATGGTCACCACAAAATGTATTCCAAGCCCTTTGCACACCTGTAATAACACGTACAGGATTTGTACATGTTCTTTCATGTTTTCCTTCCACCTCCCGAACTTTGTGGGTTAGGGCACTGCATCTTTGGATGGTTGACAGTAAATGGATTTTCCATAAAAAAGAAATTGAACACATCTTCCCATGGATTTTCTTTGCCAGTATCAAAAACTACCCTGAAGTGATAGTGCCTGGTGCCATGTGGGAGAAGGAGAAAGTGGGAAGATTACAGTGGCACCAAGCCTCACATGCTGCCATCAGGAGCATCTTTGGCATGTTTCTCTGTTAGCTGATATAGGGAAATAAAATGCATGGCATGAATTTTAGGGAACATCGCCAGCTAAAAATCTGGAGTTTCCTATTCTGACACAGAAACTGTATTTTGGGATCATTTAAACCTTTGGGTTTTTTTAAGTGCTATGACAATGTTGAGCATTATTGCAGTTCATAATCTTGCCTAGACATTTTATTAGGTATTATTTCTTGTTAATCTATCCTCTGCTATTTTTCATCATCTAGAGATGTTATCTTATTCCAGGATATAATACAGCTATCTGGGTTTCCAACAGTACCATCTGAAGCAAGAAAAGTAGGCCATTTGCACTGGGAATGCTATACTGGTATAGGACACATGTGCTCCTGCATCAGTGCAGGGTTCTTACTGTGCAGGAAGTGATACAGGCAGCGCTCGCCCGCTGCTGCCTCCGCGAGCCAGCCCAGTGGCAGGGAAGCCTTGTCACTACTCTGGATTAACACCAACCCCTTCTGCTGGCACAGAAGCCAGCATCTGGGAAGATCACTTGCTACAGGTATCACCATCTTTTGCATGGGATCTTTGAAGAGGCAGAGTCAGCCCAAATTCTGTGGTACCACATGGGCATCCGAGTTATCCATATACACCGAGCCAGAATTTACATCTTGGCACTGTCTGCAAGTGCAAAAGTTATTTTTATCCTATTTCACTTCTCAAGGCTCTAAAAATTGTTACCAAGGAGCTTCTGGGACTGAGCTGTTCATTCAGTGATAAATCAGTCAGGAGGTATAGGAGGCTCAATGAAATGCTGTGCTTAGGATAGTTAAAGAGAATGTATTGCCTCTGAATTGAGAGAGATCTGGGACTGTACAATTTAGCACTCGTTCTGAGCATTTGAGCACGCAATACACACATTAGATCTGGTAAGAATGTATTGGTCACCCAAGAAAATTTTACACACCTCACATTGCTCCAGGATTTCTTGGAGATATAAAATTACATATCTGAACAATCAGAGAACTCTGAATCTGTAACACATTTCCATGAGCAGTGTCTTTGTTACTTATGATTATACCCATTAAGTATCTGTAATCACTATGGCATGACTGGCAATATAGCAGTAGATTTAAAGAATACTACAGGAAAGTGATACAAAATCATCACAAATTTGCACTGTAAGTACCTCTGTTTGTTCCTTCTCTTTATTCTGTTTCTCTGTATCTGACTTAACATCCAGAGCCACAGGTTTTTCTCTGTCGAGTTCCTGCTCCTGTTGCATGCCCCTCTGCTTCTGTCTCGCTATGGAAATCCAGGCTGGCTCTGTGGGACTGTTGGGATCTCTTTTGGAGTCCCCAGCAGCCATGGGGGAAGGCACGCTTCTCTCTGTTGACAGATCATTTATGTACATGGTTATATGGAAGACAGTTGCAATTAGCTGCAGCTCGCGCTTGCTCGACACACTGATTGGTCCCACGATGTGTGACCAGCCTGGGTAAATAGGAATTCTGTTTAGTTTGGTCTCCAGGGAGCAATCTTCCCATGCTCACTGTTTGAAGTTACTGTTCTACTGGTGAAAAACTCTGCATCTTCTTTAGCTACAGGTGCAGTGTCACTGCCTTCACGTGAGGGAGATGCAGAAATGTTAATCAAGCTTCATTAATTACCCATTTTCCAAGGTCTCCCCTTCTGCTCCCTCCTCCCATCTGTTTCGTGGCCTCTTAGAGACAAGCAGCAGCCGATTCAAGGCTGGACACCGTGGGACCATGGTATGGCAAAGGCAGCCCCCTCCCCGCTGCGGCTGCCCTGGGCTCCTGCTCTTCCCATGCCTATCTGATGCCTAAGTCTGGTTCCCACCTTCCTTCCACCCCTTCAGGAGCAGCCTCTCTCATGAAGCCCCTTGGTGCTGTGGGCGACTGAGCCCAATGGTCTGTGGGGTCTGAACACACAGAAACACTGTGACAGTCACAGGGTTAACTCATGGGCTTTTGACACCAGGTTTACTTTGGCTTATGGATGCTGACCACCATGCTCTCCATTTGGGCCAGCCACTCTCATCGTTCTCTACCAGAACTGAGACTTCAGCAAGACAAGAAAATTTTAAAAAGTGCTTTCTAGAGGAAAGGGTCAAAAGTGCTCCCCTGGTGACCTCACTACTAGGTTGAGCAGTATCCAGAGGTATGGGGAAGTGAAATATCCTCCATTCCAATATTCTGCAAGGGGAAATCCTGTCTATGTGGTGAGCAGGACTGGATCAAGAGAAGAGCCTCAGCTCCTCTGTTGGCTCCAGCCCCCAGGTTCTCTACTTCTTCACTGGCTCACACCGAACTCAAAATTCAGTTTTCCAGCTAATGTGGAGCCTCTGTGTGGTTTAAAAAAGGAACAAGAACAGTACTGACACCCTTAGAGCCATGTTAGAGCCATGACAGGGTCTTGAGGAAAGATGGTTTAACCTTTCCCAGCAGTTTCTGGCCACTACTGGTCAATCCAGGAAGGGTTACTGTGCCAGTGTGCCAGCCTCCCCTGGGGCTCAGCTGCTGTGCTGGTGTAGAGCTGGGCCACCCAGCCACAGGACCCTGTGGAGAGAACAGATGCATTTCTGGAGGGCCACGGTCTAATTTAGAAGAATGTGGCCCCGATCAGGAAAGCAGGGAAATTTCTCTGAAGGCACGTTTGAGATGCCTCATAAAGTCATAGGAGATGAAAGGGATTATGCTTTCCCAAGAGCTAGAGCCTGCAAACTCAGGCACATTATGAAAGCCCACAAACTTTCTTTGCTCAGGGATTTTCTCAAGTCACTGCTGTACCTCACCAGAGACAGACTCGTTATTTGAGGAAGAAAACATCGTAAAGCCTGTGTCAGCTAAAAACCACAAAAAGAGAAAACACACGAGTTTTGCTTTAAGGCCAAAGCAAGATGTTTTGCCAGCTGATGCCTACACTTTACTTCATGTTCACCTTATGTGATCTTGCAGAGAAGCCTCTGAAAGCAACAAGGCAGAAAGTCCAGCTGTGCAAATGCAGCACAGCAAAGCAGTCCCTGGACACAGGAGGAGCTTTCCTCCCTCCTGCATGGCAAGTCACTCCAATTCTCTGCATCCCACCTAAGCCCCATCTCTCCATGCCAACAGCTGTTCCTCCCATGATCTCCTTCCCTTCCCCTCGCTAGCTGCCTCATTTTACAGGATGATAGAGACTAAGACTGGAGAGATCGCAAGATATCATCTTGTCTATCCTTCAGCTGCAAGGCAAGACCAGATGCAAGATCAATTTCACATAAACTGTTTCCTGACAAGTAGCTATCTAACCTGGTCTTAAAACTCTCCAAGTATAGGACAGATCTCAGAGTCTCTCTGAGACAACCTATCCTATGGATTGGCTCTTTTACTACTCTATTTTTTCCCTGTTGGGTAAGTTGCATCTTCCTTGCTCTAATTTAAATTCATAATTTCTTCCCCTATGCACTACGGACATGAGCAGATTACTCATAGCATCCTTGAAGCAGCCTTTTATGCATTTAAAGACTTAGACCATATTTTCCCTACTCTTTAAACTTTTCTGATTGGCCATATTCTTTAGATTGCTCTTGCTTTTGTAGAAATTATCCTTGTCTGGTCCGAATCTTCTTCAAAATACGGTGCACAAAACTGGCACGTAGCACCTGAGATGAAACGGTGCTAACATCAGCTGAAGTAGAAGGACCACCCCATTTCTCCTGTACACATGAGTCAGTACGATGAGTTTCTTGCAGAATTATGTTATTCCCGTTTTTTATTTAGTTTGTGAGCTCCAGATCGTGTTACTTCCCCTCTTCCATCCTCCATTTGTATCTGTGCATGAGATTATTTTTGCACATGTAACTAAACTTTCTAGTTGTCTGTAATGAAAATACTGTTTTCATATTATGTTTCCACTTTCTTGCGATAACCCCGATTTCTGTTACTGTCCTTCAGTGTGCCCATAGACTTTCTAGTTTGGTGATACTTACAAATACAATAAGCACACACTTAGTTCTATCACCCAGGTCCTTAAATAAACTGAATAGCGTCAGGCCTAAGGTGGCCACCATCTAATGTGACAGTGAATCATTTGTTGGCACACTCAGTAGCTTTTCATCAACCCAATGAATAGCTTTACCAAGACTGTATTTATAGGAATGTCATTATATTTATAGGAATGACATAAGATACCAGTTATCATTGGATTTGACTGCTCTTGACCAAGCCATGTTGGTTGGAACTTTTATCTGTATTATCTTGTGCCCATTTAGAAATAGCTCAACTGGTCCTTTCATTATTTCATATTAAGTGGTATATAACACCCTTTCTTCCACTCTCTCTTCTCCATCTCACCTCCCTTTTCAAGATGTGCCACCTTCTGAAGTGCCCCTTAACTTCCCCAGTTCACCAAGATCAGCACTATGAGCGCAAGGACTGCTGCTCCATCCTCTCTGAGTACCTTAGGACAAACTTCATTAGGATCTTCATAACTAAACCTTCACAGCTTAATTGATGTGATGTCTGCTAATGCATCTGCCATCACATTTCCTCCTTTGCTTGTAGGCCATGCCCTTGAATTCACCTGCACCCATCTGCACCTTTTTAGGTCGTGAGCAATTTGGGCAGGACCTATTAGTGCACTCACTGCCCAGTAAAACCAGGTGCCATGCTTCAGCAATTCCCAGAGCACTGCTGTGGTACACAGACTGACTGCCACTACTGAAGGTGACAGTGATGTCCAGTGCTCCTCACAGCTGAAGATCCCTCACTGAGTACATAAAGCAGCTTTTCACTTTAGTTACCTCCTGTCCAAATTTGTGAACTCATTTTCCTGGCATCCTGTAATGAACAACCATCCAACCCAATATTATAAAGGTATTTCCACATTGAAGCCTCCCTGTGCCCTCTTGGGCTCATCTGCTAGCTCCATCCCATCAAGCAAACTCCTTCTCTGCCAAGTACAGGCCTTTTCTCAGCTCAGAGAAGACTGGGCTGCTTCTGACTGTACAGATACAGACACACCACAACATGCATCCTTTTCCACCACCTTTTCACCTCCCTTCATTGTCTTGGTGCTTGAAAGCACCAATATCTTTATCCTGTAGGTCCTTTTCAGTCCACTAACTTTCTGATGATACTGGAAACCTGGCTTCTGCCGTGATGACACTAGTGACGTACATCTTAGTCTCTGTGATGCACATCTTAAGTCTCTGTGATGCAAAATCACCCTTTGTGTTTTGTCCTGTTTTCCCTGTCACATCACAGGGCAAGTTGGTGTTTTCCCGTAAACACCAACTGCACTTCACTGCACTGCACACTGTTCCTCCTCTGCTCCCACCACACAATCAAGACCGATAAAATGACTGCTAAGCCCAGGCTCTATTTACTGCACTACAGGTAATGGTCTTATTGCTACCTGCACTCCTGTTTTTCTGTCATCCTTATGGATTTAGGATTTATCTTTCTGTTATTTTGACATGCACTGCCTAGCACAACAGGGTTCCCAGTCCTGCAGTGATGTGTCCGAAGGCTGCTATTATAACACTGTTTTTCATAAGGCAGATACTGTAACGAAGGCATCAAGCACTTTTGCCCTTCAGACTATTCTCCCTGATGAGACGCCAGACATCCTAGTCATGCCAATTAGAAGGCAGCCAAATTAGAGCCAAGTATCATCCCACAAGAGATGGTATCAGAATGTCCCTGTGATAGTAGGGAACAAAAGCTCTTCATCATCATCTTAAAGATTTTATGTGTGTCTGTACAGGCCTGGCTTAGGACAGCAGAGTAGCATCACCTACAGAGAATCAAGAGCTTTCTTGCTTCTCCAAGCAATCATGTTCTGCCCTTGTTCCTGTGAGAGTCTGTGCTGCAGAAAGCCAGGCAGGCAGAGGAAATGCCTTCTCTCCAGCAAAAAAAACATCAGACGTAACCCGTGCAGGATTTGCTACCTCATCTGTCAGCCACAATTACTGTAAGGGGTAGAAGAGGTGTATTCACTACTTATTATCTTCCCCGGTGCCCAGAGATCCTTTACATCCTCCCACCTCCAACTAGAGAGTTTCTTGGCAGTATACACACACTGTTGTTCCAGCCAGAGGGGTGAAAGTGGTGAAGTAATCCAGGAGATAATATAGTGAAGTAAGTTGGCAGTTCAAGGTGATCTCAGACTCTCCTATGAAGCTCTTGGTATCCTGAGGGGCACCAAGATGCCAAAAGCTTTCTCGGGAAGGGACTCTTCACAAGAGAAGTGCTGCTTGCACATCTTCTTCCTCAGTTCAGTGACTGTCTGACTACCCTTAACAAGCCCTCTCTATCTTACCTCATCCGGTCATGAGGTAATCTGTGTGCTTTTACGGTTCACCACGTGGTAAAGCACAGCTTTTAAGGAACCGGATAGACAGAGTGGAACCAAAAGTACTCAAAAGCACAATCTAATTATTTCTTCTGCTGCACATCACGTGCACAGCAGCAAGCACAGCAGTTCCCTGCTGGTAAATGCCACTTTTAGGGAGACAATGTAGTACGAAATGCAAGTGGTGGCATCCTCTGTCGTAAGCTGTGCGAGTTTGACAGGCCACAGCCACCGCAAATGCCTCATGTTTCACTTCTCCTTCAGCAAAGCACAGCTGAGCCTCTTGCTTCCACATTACACTCAGTAGATTTTCTGAATAAAACTAAAATCTGTATCATATTCTTCAGTTCTTATTACAACACATTATTTCAAACAATATGCTATTCAACTCCTCCATTAATAACTTCATAAGCTAATAAAGGATCTTGCTTGCAGCGATTTGCCTCTCCTTCACTCACAGTTTTAACCTCATGATTGCATCTTTCCCTCGTTTCCTCAGAGCTTACTTTGCCTCAGGCTTTCTGAAAGACAAGCGAGCCCCTTCTTCTCCTTGGGTTAAGTCACCAACAACAGGAAGATACCAGGTCAGGACTTGTCAAGCCATCAAGCCGCTCTGCGCATTATGTCACCATGTATTAAAACTAGCATTTAATGTAGGCTGCTGAGGTCTTCTGCTGCCACTTGAAACCAGTCCCAGAGGCTGCTGAAGCCCTTCCTTCACCTCTTTCCCACAGTCCCCAGACATACACAGACGGTTGCAAGAGCAGCCGCTCTGTCTCCGTTCTTCCTCACTTCCACAGCTTCCAGAGTGACCACCAGAAATAAGCCCTGCAGCCAAGTGAACCATAGCTGCCTTCTCAATTCCTTCCCGCTGATCTGAGTCACCTGAGCTCTTCTCAGCTGGATCTGACACCGGCACGGCTGGCTGCCTCTGTGGTCCCTATGGGGGAAATTGCCCTGCTGCAGCCCCATTAAATGCAGGTATCCATTTCATTTAGTATCTTACTAAAGCAGCTTGTTGTTTTTTTTTTCCTCAGAATCTAATGCTCTGATTGCTCTGATCTTATAGATTAAACTTCTGCCTAAATATTGTGGAAATGAAAGTGTACACTTCTCCTTGATAGATGGATGTTATTCTTTAATGTGTGTCAGCCTGGCTGTGTGAACAATAAGATTAAGATAGAAAATTATCTTTACCTACAAAACGAGATCAATGATTGACTTGTTATTGTCCATCAGTTTATATACACACATAGAAACTGAAAGAGAAATACATTCCTATTTCTGTCTATTGACAGACAGATATACTCAGTGTACTCAAATGTATCTGGGGGTGTATGTGCTGCTTATATGGATAACCACAGCAAAGACATATTTAAACATTACCCTGAGATTTAGGGATTGATTTTTTTTTTAGAGATGGCCTTAGATACTGTACCAGTTTCCTTTAAATCTAAAAGCATTATATAGCAGAGACTCTTTATAATATTTAAATCTTGTACCTGAAAATGAACATCTTAGACCTGCAAGGACTGCGAAGAGTGGTTACTCTTGCTGTGCATCTGTGCAGGCAAAAGGTCAGAGGCAGAACATCGGAGCCTTTTGAAAGTCATACCTTTCACAGCAAGCAAAGCCAACTTGTGGATTCCCCGCGTGTTTTAAAAGCAAACATTCTCAAAACTAATCCAAACAACTTTGCACAGAGATGTAACACTCCCTGTATACAACCCTGTCGTTGTTTTATAACACTGCTCGTGCATGCATATTTAATTCCACACTGCTGTATCTCCGCTCATTTATAAAACACCAGTTATCTTAAGACAGGCTTTACAAATGCATCTGGCATTTAATATGCCCTGGCCTACATATTTCCCTTTGTTTACTAGAGCACTACGTGCATTTCTGTCAGTGTACACGCCCAATTCCTTAATTTCAAACAAATCTATTCCAAAAGATTCGGCTAAGCATTTTTGACATTTCTTTCTTCTGTAAGCTGCTCTGCAAGGGATTTGACTTTTGGTTGGATCTATACCACCGATGCCAGGAGAGTCATTTTGACACATGAAACTGCTATGCTTATATCAAAGTCTATTTCACTGCTGGAAAACAGCCATATTGCAAAATAGCCTGACACAACCGAAAAAGCAACTTCTTTTGGGAAGAAAAAAAGAAAAAGACAGCTTTCTTCTCAGCTATAGCCAGAACAGCCTTAAAGCAATGTCTTTTTTATGTAGAGAGAAATATTTTTCTTTTCATTTCAGAGCCTGCATTTGCCAGACAATACACACCAATTTAATTTACCATTACCTTCACCGTCCCTCCCTGAGTTCCTTTTCTCTGTTAGAGCATGTCTCCCCACTACAGCTCCTCAGTCACTGAATTTATATAGATCCTAATATGGACATTCACACAGGTATTGCTTATGGTTTTGCTCCTGTAATAATCTGTTAGCCTGTGCTATTTGTTTCTGTCCTTTATGGGATTAATAGACAAGTGTATCAGCCTCAAAAAACACATCTTAATGTTTTAATTCTTGCAAAGAACTTGTGCCTTCAGCTTCAGAAACGTAAAAATTACTCCTCCTGGGGTGACTAATTTCCCACAGGCTGCCACCTTGCAGCCCCAAAGAGGTTCCCCAGAAAACTCTGGAGAGCAGGAGTGCTGCCTTCCCCTGGGGTGGTAAGCCAGCATCCCACCAGCCCTCTCATTGCCTTTGGTACCAGGAATGCTGAAAAGCTAAAAATTGAACTGAATGAACCAAATTGCTCCCACTCACCCCATGACACAGCCAACTGACATTTTTGAGACGAGTGTACACGAGAAGGGAACTGCACCCCCTTACATTACAATTTCACAGCTTGTCTTCTTATTCAGTGGAGGATTTTCCTAACACACAGTGGGAAGAAACTCCCTGACAGCATAAAGTTTTTCCCAGTAGTGACCACAGCTCTTCGAAAGGGCTGATGAACTCACAGACTAGGAAAGGGCTGGGTGACGGCCCTAAGGACGGTTGGATAAAATAAAAAAAGAAGCGTGTGTCCCAGCAGATCAGGAGGCCAGAGATGGCTGGCTTGACCCACCAAGGGCCATGCGCATTGTGCTTGCTAGATTTCTGCTGCTTGCATTTGCAAAGCCATGCTCCCAACTCACTGGGCAAATGTTGCCCCAGGTTCAAATTCCAGGTGTGTGCATCCCTGCCAGGGAGCTGGGTCACGGCTCTCACCTGCAGACCCTATTTTGCAGAGGACAGTCCTGAGCATGGAGGCAGGAGTCTCCTTCACGCCAGGGCTGAGGAGCCAAAGTCTGGAGGAGAAACGTGTTCCCTGGCTCCACTTCTTCCCCTTCTCCTTCCTCCAGTACTCACTGTCTCCCACCCCACTCCTGCTGCAGGCACCCTGGGACTCAGCAAAGAGGGATGCGTAAAAAGGCTGTGTGCAGGAGTGCTGGTACTCCCACTGCTTTCCTCTATCCTCTGCCAGACCAGCCCTACCATGCTAGGTCTCCTCCTCACTTGTTCCCGGTATGACTCTCTTCAAAATCCCAATCGATCAGAGATTTGGGCATCAGTACAAATAATCAACTACTCCTCAGGGCAGGGCAGAGGGGAAAATGCCTTTGAAAGGAGTGTTGGGATTATACAAAGAGAGAGCGCCTTGCCTGTGGGGTAAGGGGAAGCTCTGGCTGGATGGCTGTGGGACCCTCATCCGGCTGTGGAGGCAATGAATCCCCTCTTTTTACGGCTGCTGGGAGGGCAGAAAACTGTAAACATGGCCACAGCCCTGCAAAAATATCTGTGATGCTGCAGCAGATGACAGCTGGAGTCTGCTATCTCTCAGGGTGTCAGCAGGCTGCCTCTGGGGCCAGGAAGAGGCTTTTGTCATCCTACAGGACAAGTGGCCTGCTGTGTCCTGAGGTCTTCTTTTGCCTTGGTGTTCCCCCTCTCCGAAGCTCAGAGACTGACCGCAACCAAAGAGCAACCATGAAGGGCAGCTCTGCAATGGCACAAAGAAAGCTTTTAATTGGCTTGGCCAGCATCTCCTCCTTACATCCTTAACATCAAACCTGTGACCAGACAGATTCAGGACACACGTATCATAAGACCCAAAGATTTTTTCATCATTTGGCTGTTCTCTGGAGTGAAGAGCAGAGGTCTCCTCCTAGAATTGCTTGAGTGTACTTCACCTAACTTGTTTACTGTCACTGCAAAGACCTCAGACACTGGTACCACTTCCAGTCTTTGCTGTTCTCTGCCTGTAGCACACAATATATTAGTCTCCAGAGGGCTGATCTTTTTTTAAACCCTAACCCAATTACATAATACAGACAACAGGGTGAAATTTAACTATCTGCAGTAGACATGATCTTAGGGTCTCTCCTGGCTCTAAACTCCAGGAAGCTGCAGGGTAGTTATTTTTTGTGTTTTTTTTAAACAAGGAATTAGTAATGATAAAGCTGGATAAATGAATAAGCAAAGCTCACAGGAGATGGTAAATAAATGGCAAGTTGCGTATGCCAGGCAGTATTTCTGCCTCAATGCTATAGTGAAAATGAAGGTATAGAGGTCTGAGTCACTCATCCCATGCAGGGCACTCCACTTAGTATGTGCTCCTGGCTTTTCAACTGCCATACAACAGCTCTAAATGGGGACACTTGGTGGTCTGATATTTCTGTCTCACAATACTTGCTAACACACTTTCTTTTTTGAGTGTCAGTTTGAAGATTCCTTGAACAACGCTCTGAAATGCAAAAAATCACAGGCAAAAATATCTTATTCTGTCTGTTGCTTCTTCCCTGCTGTCCTTCTGGTAATCTTTTCAGCAAGGGGGAACCAGGGAGTAACATTCCTGAAGACAGAGCCATCAGCTCGTGCTCACCAGTGTTGTGACTGACACAACAGGGCTGCCTCGCGCTCTCTCACAGGTGAGGTCATTCCTCACGACTTAAGATAACTTTATAAAGTACTGGGAGTCTTACCAGGCAATTTAGAAGGATTTGACTTTTTCTCCAAGTTTCTATCTTCCTTTCCAGATTCAGGAGAGTGAATAGCTTTGTCCTGCTTCTCCTTGTTTGCAGTAGTATTTGGAACAGTTATGTTTTGCAAGGCTGGCTTTTTAGGCAATGGAGGTTTGCTACTAAGCTGTTCAGAGGACTTTGCTTTGGGTTTGATCTTTTCATTTAAAGAATCACCAATACTGGTATCGGCTGTTTTTTTGATCTGTGCCTTATCACCTTTAGGAAAGGAAGTCAACCCCTCATTTTCCAAATTAACCTCTGCACTGTATCTTTTAATCCCTTTTGATTCTGGTGATGAGTTGTCTCTGTATCTCAAGGACAGTGAGGTGGATCTAAGTTTCACTTGTAAAGGACTTTTATCGCCACAGCTTGGCTGATTCTGAGATACCACCAAAGAATCAGTTGGCACCGGCACCGCATCAACAGCCGGAGAAACGCAGCCAGGCAAAATTTCTGTAGCTTGGCCGGTGTTCTCCGAGTCGGACTCTGGCAGCAAAGTCTGCTTTTTGTTGCTACTTTGCTCCTCCTCCAGATCTGATCCCTTCTGCAAGTCTTCTTTCCACTTCTCATTTCTCGAGGAGACCTTTGCTTTAGACAGGAAGAATCTGGTATTTAATGGGTTTTCCAACTCTGATCTTTCTGGGAAGTGTAGACTTCTGGTCCTTGGTCTCTCTCGTGCAGAGGAGACAGAAAATTTTCTCAAGGCATTGAGTTCATTGGCTGCTTTTTCAGCTTTCTTTGCCAAAAGTTCCTCCTTGTGGACCGGTGACTGACTGGTCTCAGTCTTAACAGGAGCAGCTGCCTCCTGTGCAGCCTTTGTTTTCTCCAGAGAGCAGGAAGCTGATGATCCCATCTGCGTTGAGGAAGCAGGATGTGAAACATGGAGTGAGTCCATGGGCTGCACAGAACCTATGGAAAACTGCTTGCTAGACTCTGACAACAGAGCAACCTCTTTCTTTGCCTCTGTATTGCAGGGCATTTCCACAGTTATCTGGTCATCCTTCTGATTGTTTTCTTCTGACTCTTCCAAACGAATAACGCTATTCTTACTAATTGAAATTTCTTCTTCAGATGGTATTTTATTTACTGAAAACACAGTAGGAAGCTCCTTATTTTCTTGATTTAAAATATTGATTGACACATCACTCATATCCTCAGACGACAGAACTGGTGTTTCTGAGGAACCTTCATGCTTTTGTACATCTCGTTCTGGACTGGAGTAGGGAGACATTGCGGAGTCTTTGCCTTCTAACAGCAGTGAGGACTCAGACTTCACACACATTGTTTCCGGTGCTGGTTGGCAGCCCTCTGGTTTATTCTCTGGTAGCAGGGCTTCATGTACAAGGGCAGACTCAGAAGTAGGCTGAGTCACCGCCGGTCTCAAAACAGGGGGAAGGTCCTCAGGCATTCTGGGCTTCGGCCAGGAAGCCACATCCTGAGCTGCAGCTGTGCCACATGGCAGCTCTTGATTGCTGGGTTTGAATACAGCATCTGGCAAGTCTGTCAGCATCTCCTTTTCATCATCCTCTTCTTCTTCTTCTTCTGGGGTACAGCTCAAATCAGTCAGAGATTCAGACTGAGTCCTCTGCAAGAAAGAAATTCAGAAAGCCCCATCATCATGTACAGATTTACTTTTTTCTTATTCATCATTACATTTACAACCAAGATCTTAGAGAGGAAGGCAATACTTGGCTCCAATGCTGAGCTCACTGTTTTCTTAACGTACATACTGGCTACTTTTTTTGTCTAAGCATATCCTGGAATAATGTATTTAACCAATATAAAAGCAGTCAGTGACACTCCCTTCTACACAACTAATGCTTTCATGCCTTTGTAGATCAGAATTTCATCAAAACAATGGCCATTGGACTGTCCTTGGCACTTGATTCCCCAGAGCATACTGGATATGTTGTGTTGCTCTTGGGCAAAAAGCAGCACTTGAAAGAGAAAAATCTGTCCCTTTGTATTTTGCTACTGCATACTAGCATTAAAAATAAAACAACTCATTCTTGCATGACTCTGAAGAGGAAAGGGTACATAGAAGGAAGAGCAAAAACCTACCAAGTCCATCTGGTTATGACACTATGCCAGCTGAGTATCTACCCCCATATGGCAGTCTTCTGTCTTATCCCACTGCCATACAGAATGATAGCCTTGCCTCCTTTGTGTATGTCTTCTTTTCTTTCAGGAGTTAGACTATTTGATAAAAGCTTACAAATGTGTATGTAGTTATCAGTGAAGTCTTGTGATTATGCTTCAGGTAAGGACTGGCTAAATATACAGAATTATTTGAAAGCACATATTAAGCTGCTGAATATGCATTTTCCTATGGTGCCCATATTAGCTGACTGATTCACTGTAGTTTGTTGTGTAAATAAATATATATGTTGGATGTAGGCCCTAATTCTAAGAACACAAAACCTGCACTCTGAAGATACCTTTAGGATTCCACCAACTTTTGGCAGAACTCATTTTGCAAGTGCAATTGCAAAGACAGAGCTGCAATGCCACTTGCATTCACAATCCATATCCACAGGAACATAAAAGCAGAAGACATTCGTTAGCCAGAAGCAAAGTCCACAGGCAGAGTCGGGCAGGAAATATTAAAAATTGTGTTATCAAAAGATGTGAACACTCTCCATGGAAAACCAGGAGGGCTGAGTCATCTGGCAGTTTATGGGCAGACTGGACAAAGCAATTGTATTTCGGTAACAATTTTACAATGGAAGAGGATATTTGATCAGAGAGTTACAGGCTTTACAGGCTTTTCTAAATAACTGGCCTCATCATTGTGCTGCTCACAGTGGTGCTCTACTGAGCCCAGAGTTCACTCACAGAGTTTGGAAAATACATAATATCAGCTAAGTAAAATTTGGAGACAGAGAGAATAACATTTCTGGCGGTAAGCAAGCCAATTTAATGGCTTTAATGCGTTCAAAACACTGAAAGAAACCACAAACAAGAAGTGCAAATACTGTAGTGAGAGCTGCAAACTTTAGTGCTAGGAAGAGGAGACAAAGAATAAAAATTAAGCTACACCCTTCATAAGATACGACAAATAATCAGATAAGTGGTGTTTTAAAAGGATGGTTTAAAAAAAATATGGTTTTTTGATAGTATACACTTTTTAACAAGTTATTTTTAAATAGTATACAGCTTTTTTTTTACTATGGAGACTTGTTTTAAATCTCTGTAGTGCACATAAAGGGTTTACAAGTTTTGGGGCAGGGAGAAGCCTGAATTCAGAACAGTCCCAATGTACAGAATTTGGCTCCAATTTATAGGTCACAACTTATTCTTTCTGTACTTTTTGCAAATATAAGCCCAATTATATTTAGGAAGTTGAAACAGCTCCTCCACCAATAGTGTCTCAAAGACTCAAGATTTTACAGGTTCTTTCAGACTAGGACAAGTACTCAAGTTGATTATAACACTTCCAAAAAGTATATTATTAAGTAAGAAATGAAGCACTAATCCCCAACTTCTGCATCACAAACAAGATACTAAATTGCATGGTAAATTTAAGAAGAAATTGTGACATAAACTGCTGCATCAAGAGTTAACAAGCAAACTCATAATATTTAATCTGTTTCTAGTGTCTACTCCAGATCTGTTGCTTCATCAAATAGCAGCTATTAAAACCCAACAAAATATCCATGCTGCATTCTGACTTTTCTTATCACATCTGAGTTTGAAATACAAAGTCCAGCAAGAACTTCCTGGTTTTGTTTCAAAGGTGACACTGTTTCTTTTCAAAAGTACCTGAGAAAATCTTCTCATTTTACTGGATCTCTGGTTCCGGGGTTTTATTAAAAGCTTGTGTTTAGCAGCTGAATTATCCAAGCAAGAAGTAAGCTCAGGTGGAGTGTCAAAATCGGCTGCAGGTGAGGTGGTACTGTCAGATATCTGGGGAGCTCCAGTTTTAGCACTTCCACGCCTGGGGAACAGCTGACTGTCTGTAGAGCGAGATCTGGAAGAAGGACCCAATGTAGCCTGAAAAAAATAATCCCCAAATAGAGAATCAAACAAAGAAACAAAGATGTGAAAATAACAATTCTACAAAGAAAGAACCAAGTTTTTAAGGCCATTTTAAGGCTGCCTGTTTTTCTTATTGACATCTCTTTAAAATACATTGCATCTCCTAATGTTGCACATGGCGTACTGCTGTTAGCAATTCTGGATTTTTAGCCGTTTTAATTTCATGGTATAATATACAGTGAGAAGGACCAAATCACATTTAACTAGAAGATTTTAAGCACACAAATAGATGGCCACCATGTTTTAGAAGACAGATTTAAGAAGAGTATTCAGTTACAGAATGCAAAGGGCCAGTCTCCTTTCTGCATCTGTCCAGCGTCTCTGTCTAGACTCCTACCCACAGTTATGCTGGGCTGGAGCATCTCAACCTTCCTATACTTCACCAGATCCCTCCCAACTCTGTAACACCCTCCTAAAGACAAACGAATCAAACATCAGTGGTGTTGACGCTTAAGCCAGCTTGTGTTTTTTCCTCATGTATTTATAGTTGCAAAGTAAGTAGGGAGTTCACCTGAAATGTAACATATCATTTATAGACTGTTCTGGGGAAGGAAATGATGGGCAATACCTACTAGAGACAAATAACTCGCCCAGAAACAACTCCTGAATGCTCCAAGAGGTGCAGTACTTTCATGAAGCTAGAATCCAGCTTGCCTGTGCGCTTCACCAAAAACTACCCTACGTCCAGGGCTGATGCAAAAAGGAGACTGAAAAGGTTATGAAAAATGACTCTACAAAGGGTTCTTTCTTTCTCTTGGATTCAGTCTTAGGCAAAATGATATTTCCAAACTATCCATCATGGCATTAACATGACCCCTGATAACATGTGACTGCACGTCTTTCGTAAGGTTGAAATTCCGGTTTACTTCATTAGAAGAGCTTTCTCCCTTTGTGATGTTTTCTTCTGCAGGCTTCCTTATTTATTATTTTCTTCTTCTTTCTTCTATTTCTGGAAGTGGTATTTTACTGAGAGGGCTGGATGGGAGAAAGGGAGAGTAGAATAGTGTTTGTTTTATTTAGGGAAGGAAAAAGCAGCAGCGTTTTTTGCAAGTAGATTTCTGCACTATGCATTGCAGCCAAAAGTTAGTCTGTAGTGTAGTGAGGGCCTACTACAGTGGGCAAGGGAGAACTCCCAATGATTTTAGTGGAGGCTGGATCCACAGCTTCCGGTCATGTTTTCTATTTAAGAAAAAAAAGCACCTCAGCCATGCTGAATAATGGATGGTCTCATTAATTTTCACTCTACAATATCTGCAGCCTCGTACTCAAACATGACTAATGTACAACAAACGATACGTGGCTGTATTATACATTAGCACCTCACAGTGAATACATTGACATTTCAGCTCCACGATAAAGATGCAGCACATGTTCTCTTTCAAGGCACATCATTATTTGCCTGCCTTTCTTCTGGCTTCTGCTTTTCCTCGACAGCTTTGCATGTCTTCTTGTTGGCAGTGCTCAGTGTTGGCCATTACACTGGAAAACCGAGAATCTGGTTTCTTACTTAAATTTCAGCAGCCCGAGTGAATGCCAGCTGTGAGCCGGCTGCAGAAGTTGCCTCAGGTCCCATGAAGTCTGGCTCTAGCAATGCCCGCTGGAGGAGAGGATGGCTGGCAGACCCATTTCTCCAAATCTCATGTGCACGTGGCTCAGTTGTCCTTCAGCTGGTCATGCTGGGTGGCACAAGGACGGGGGGCATAAGGGAGACCCATCCCCAAAGCCCAGATGAGACAGTCGTGGTCTCTTTCTCCCTTCTTCAATCCAGGAAAGGTAACAAGACATAGCAAAGTGTCACTGCTGCCCAAAACCTCAGGGTTGCATTGTGCAAAACTACTCAGCCCTGCGAGCTGATCTCCTCTGCCTTCTAGGAGTAGGTCTAATCTCTCCAAAATGCCAGGTGGTAGAGCCTGTGGTTTGGGAGGAGGGCCTTCAGATGGGACTGCTTACTGGCTGAGCTCTGAAACTGGGCTGGGATGAAGAGAGTGCTGAGCTAAACGATGGGACATGTGGAAAAAGCTGAGCAACCGCATAGTCACCACCACGTCTCAGGAGTCAGGGAGTGAGTCAGAGAATGATGTTAATGGAACAACAGGGAGACATAAAACCTCCTTTAGCAAACATGCATCTGGACTGGAAAAATGCCCAGTAAGCCTATACCAGTTTTTAAGAAATACCTTCTTGAGGTGTGCTGTTCTTTTTTCTTCAAAAGTATGAAAATTTCACTATGTATAAGCCATTTTTCAAACAGCTTCATGTGGAAGCTGTGTGGCCAGAAATCTTTGCTGAGCTCTGCTGCAGCTGGCCTTGAAATACATTTTGCATAATTACCAAAGAATAGTCAGTTCAGGAGTAGCTTCTCAGTTTCCTTTCTGCAATTGCCCTTCATTCCTCCTCCTATTTCTAGAAAAAGCTTTTCCCTTTACCCCCTATATTGTTTCCACCATGACTCCAGCTGTGGACAACTAAAAGAGACTCTTCAGAGCCTTTCAAAACCACCCTTTAATCAGCCAGAACGGCTGGCTGCTGATTGAAGAAAGCCATCTATTTGCCTGTACTCAAGTCCTGAAAACATCACTTCAGCAAAATTCACAGCTCATGCTTGCTCACGTGGCCAGAATCCGACTGAAGGCTGAGCCTCAGACTCCTCAGCAGCAATGTCAGCCGCTATCATCAGGCAAACACCTTCTCTATCAGTGTGAGGTAATCTTGTACTTAGAGCAAGGGGACGGGCAGATTTTAGAGGATCTACATTTTATTCACGGCTCCTCAACAAGCTTCCTCCCTTACCCTATGCATGTAACCCAAGCAGCCCTTATTGCAGTTTCCCGTCCTTAAAAATAGGGATACTGTTTCAGTGTCTAAATCTGACTGGTTGTGTTTGGAGATTAAATCAAGTCTGTAAAGTTTGTTAAAGAATATGAGCTATTCTGGAGGGTTTAATTATTATCAACGGGAGACTACTTGGCATCAGAATTATGTTGATAAATAGTCATAACTTTTATGTTAGATGGACAGGCATTTAAAAAGCACAGCAAACAGGCATACAATTACATACATACAAGGTTGTTTTTGCAGCAGATGGCAATAAAGTAATATTTATGTCTTACATTTCTTTAAATACTACTATGCATAATTGCTTGGCCCTTAACAGATTTGGCAGAAGTTACCTGTTCTTCTTCTTCACTGCCTGTTCCAGCTAAACTCAAAGAGCTAAGGTGCTTGTGAGAGTCAGAGAACTGTGGGATGGAATGAGGAAGAGATTCAGTAAAAGATGACAAACGAGGTAGATACACTCACAGAAAGCATCTACACAATGTGCACACAGATACTGACAAGGTAAGTTGCTTTTCTCTATAGTCTTAAGTATTAGCAAGGACGCTGCAAACATAAACTGTAAGACATGCAGATAAAGAATGAAATAATGTATAACAAAACTATCATTTAAAAAGAAAACACAGTTTCAAATTCTTTTGTTTCTTTTTCCAATGACAGCCTAGAAAAACATTAAAGATGAGAGCTCTCTTATCAGCACAGTCAAGGGAGAATACAGATTTTTCAGCCTTTTTTTATGCCTGGCAGCTCTCTGTAGTCCGTGTAAAAACCCAGCATCCCCATGCATGCACACACACACATTCTCTCCTTCCTAGTTCTGCATTTTCTGGTGTGATATTTATATTTTAACAGGAACAGAGATTCTAAGTAGCTCTTTACACAGAGAGATAGCATTTTCCAATTTTGAGTAAGATATTTCAGGCATAAAGTAGTGATACATATAGCAAACCAAATAATTTATTCTGCCTTCCACACATAAGTAAACCAAGTCATTAACACTGATTTTCATCAATGCCAGAACTACTCACTCTTGTTATTGTGCCTGAATTTAGGTTTTCACGGAGCAAAGACATTTCTGGAGGGCTCCTGGGTAATCCATCATCTTCAGAGCTGGTCCCAGCATCCTCTGTTCGCTTTGCATGAAGTCCAAACGGAGGCGGAGGTCCCAATTTCATGGTAGGCTGGAGCTTCAACTTCAGCATGGCATAAAATACATTAGCATGTGCTAGTGATGGAGATTTTCACAGCACATTTTTTAGTTCAGGTCAATGAGTTACCTTCATTTTAACTTCGCAACTGAGTGATCCAGAGCACAGGACATCTCACTTTAGACATTCTCTTAGGAAGCCAAACAACCTATCAAATTTTCAACTATCCTTTAAATAGAACCAAGATATGGTATTGCTGTCTAATTAACAAATGTGACGTTTAATGTAAGCTGCAGACAGGTACTACTTACTAATCAAATGTTCAACCACAAATATCATCCCCAAGAAAATAAGCCTAGAAAGACATTCCACCTTTTGCATTTGAAAAAATTACGTTGCATAAATTACCTGTAAAGCTCTAATCCGATCAGAAATGTTTTCTTGAGAAAACACTCTTACTGGCCTTGCAGGCTCTTGCCCAGTCTCAGGGATGAAAATGCTATCGTGTGACAAAGCTCTGCTTCCCATAATGCCTTTGTGTGTCCTAGAATAATATAACAAATCAGTGAAAACATACAGACTTTTTTGCCAGCCCTACTACTCTTAATTCGAGTGGTCTGTTGAACACGGAGTGGGAGATAGGTGTGCGTAGCATACACCACACACAAGATTACAGACTTTGCCATGAATACAATACAGTCATCCAGGCTAATCTAGGTAACACCTTTAGAAAACAGACGAAAATTTGCAAATGCCGTTATCTGTCACATTAACAAACTGAATCAAGGTTAGAGACAGTTTAACCCCAGCAATTGAGTTGTGTCTTATGGAAAAGTTACTGCCCTTTGGCTGGAAGCCACCAGCTGAGTGGTGACACTGCTGTGGGCAAGCCCAGGTGCAAAACGAAGGGAGTTCACATAAACCAGCTTGTACCTGAGATGCAGTAACTTCTTGCCAAGGACATATCTTGCAAATGACTGACCATTACCATTGGAAGAATAAGTACCTTTTACTATTTAAGTGTGGTACAGCATTTTATGTATCTCTGCCATGCAGGTCATTAAGAAAAATATTACAAGCAATATAATTCTCACATAGAATCACTTGCATATATCCTTACAAGATGCTTAAAAGGTCCTGTCCTCTGTAGTAAAACCCCTGGGATTTTCCCTTATAAGTCTGAGCCACATTTTTTCAGGGACACTCTTTGTGGGCTGGCAAGAGGAAGCTGGAGATGCTTTGTGGCTAGCTACTCTCATATTCTGTTTCCTACTTTTGACGCATGTGATACATGACTTCTTTTGAAAATGTTACATGTGGGGCATGAACAACTCATTTCCTCATGGGAACGGTACAGGAGACCCATGGACAGACAGGTAGCTGCTAGGAGGTCTCTCATGCTCATTTTCCTCAGCTTCGCTCAAAGCCTAACTGAGCAGGGACCAGAAAAGCATGTACATGGCATTTCTTCTAGGATTCCCTTTAAAATTTTTGAAATAAGGCAGCAATGAAGTGGCAAACCAGAGTACAGAATACAGAACTGTTTGGGTTCATGTAGCTATCAAGTTAATTGAGCAGACGCTCTAGAGAGAAAAAAAAAAGGAAAAAAAGGGAGGAGAATGTCTATTTTTGGATCTTAGATACTGTCATAGTGACATTCAGGAACATAAACAAACATGGCAGAAAGTAACATTTTCCTTGTAATGCCTGCTATAAATATGTTTCATAAAACAATAGCAGGAAAAAGTTGATCTGTATTCTTGCTACAGAAGGAAGGAAAGCCTGCTGCTTCTGCCTAATGCATTAGAGACATTAGAAGAACAATTTATTTAAGTGAAAATGTGATCTCTGCAACTCATCCAAGGTCAGACCAGATCTATAGCAATTTGCAAAATAAGTGCCAACCAGGGCTGCGATGACTGCTCAAAGCACCGACACTGTACAAAGACCACAGCGGCAGCCGGGTGAGCAGTGCTGTTGCATGGGCACATTTATCCCAGCATGCTACCTCTGCTTGCTCTTTCTAGCAGACGCACACCTCCTGGATGCATAGTGGAGGTACCCTAGATGTCGCCTCAGGTTATGAGTGCTCCAATTGATTTTCCTTCCTTTCAAGGTATTCCCTGGGCCTTGTCTGTCTAAACAAATATCAAGAAGCAGTAATATAACAACTCTGCAAGTAACGGCACGGGAACATGGCCAAAACAGCCAAAGATGGTACCCACTTGGACATGACCTTGTTGAGCTGTGCACAAGGAAGAGAAAATCTGACCATCCATGTCTTAAAAATACGTCATCGAACAACAGTGCTATAGTCCACTGTCAGATCTGGTGTTGCCCCAGAAGCTCCAGGCTGGACTAATATTACTGTCACCAATGCCATAAAAGACAAAAAAGTTAATAATTTCTTTTGGTTATTTGGCGCTGCCTGGTGGCCGCATGGTATAATGTCGTTTTAAATGGCCGGGATGGTTTGCCTTTTCCGGGGCACAGCAGCATCTCTTGCCTGAGCACCAGGAGGCTTGTTCTGAGAGGCACAACATCCCCCAATGCAAAGACTTGCCTTTTAGGTAGCCAAGGGGCTCTGCAGTCCATCCTTCCATCCAGGAACACATTTGAACTTTAGACCGTGTTTCTCACAGTTACCTTTCAGTAGTGGGTAACATTTTTGGCACTGCCTGAATGAAGAAGGGATTTTATGAGGCAGCCAGATACACAGGCTGGGATTCATCTGGTCTAACTTCAGACATTCAATCAGAGGTATCTACAGTGGAGCTGGTCACCCCATCTCTCTAGGAATAGGCAATTATAGAGCATGGCTCATCTGAACAACTTCAGACGTCAACACAAGAATGATATGAGCTTTCTTTGCAATGTTGACTTCTCTCTGCTGGTTATAGAAGGCAGCTGGTGACTGACTCAGGTGCAGACATTTGTTCTTTGGTCAGATGAATCCCATGCATACAGAGGAAATAAAGGCTCTGCTGCCTCTGGTTACTGCTGATTTCTGTTGCTTATCCCTTCTGTGCTTTCAAAAGCGTGAATCATTAGGCACCTAAATTTCTTTAACAATCCTTAGGAGTTACATCTTAGGGGCATAAGACAATCCTGGTAAGATACAAGCTGAGTACCTAATTCATTTTTGAAGATGGGAATTACATTCTTTTGAAATTATAACCCAAGGCTTAGTTATGAGTAAATGAAAGGTTTTTAGTTATTATTTCTTGCTGCACCCCATCCAATTCTCTTGCTATTTGTCTTGCATCAGCCATTTTAATTTGTACTTTCCTGCAAAAGGCAACTTTTTGAGAATGCAGCATTCTGAATAAGAGGAGGCGGCAATTTTGGAGTGTCTTTAATCTACAAGCATTGTAGCAGTTTGTATTTCACTACCAGCCAGAGTCCCAAGACTTACTCAAGTTCATCTTCAGAATCATAATTAACGTGCACGTCGTGTGAGGCTGCAACATCGCCTGTTGACTGGAATAACTTCAGATTGCTCCTCCCAGAAGACAATGCCTCTTTCCTTTTCTTTTTACCAAAAAACTTTTTGAAAGATTTGAACTTCGATTTTTTCTTTCCTAAGTGGAGAAACATAAAGAATATGCAACCAGCAGCATCTGCAAGTTTTCGGAAGAATAATAATTCCCTTCTAATTCCTGCATAAGTGGTTTTTTTTTCCTGAAAAATGCAACACAGTCAGCTCTTGCATTAATGTCTTTCGAGACTATACTGATAGCATGAAATTACTATTATCTTCAAGAATGGATTGCAATGTTTATGACACATAAGAAATAACCTGTGGTGTAGGATCTCTCCTAATAGAGTTTCTGCTTGCCTCTTGAGATAATTAGACTGTGAAGAAAAGCTTTGGTATTAACAGCCTGGGATACAGAGAAGCAATTACAACTTGGAAACCCACTGCCTTTGTTCAGTAAGCTAAATAGTAATGATAAGGACAATGTTGTTACCAAAACCAATTTAAATTTAGAAAAGGCTTACATAGGTGGAATGTGCAGTGTCAGGAGGCTAATGCTTTTTAAATGTCAGTTTTATAATACATCCCAGAAAATTCTGAATGCTAATTATGAAACTCAATGGATCACAGTGTTAAACTAGAAATTAAGCAAAAATCTTGAAAAGCAATTCTAGTCTGCTCAGTAAGAAAAGACCTTAATTAGGATCAGTTGCAGGCTCTGTGAAGGAAACTACTTAAAATGAAATCAGAGTTTTGCAGAAGACATCCCAACAACTTGTGCCTGTCCCATACACGTTGGCATGACAGCAGTGCAAGGCATCCTCGTCAGCATTTCACTTATCATTGGATCTTGTTGGGTAAAAAAGTCAACTTGGTTAACTTGGTATTGATGCTCAATAAATCTTATTTCAAGCCTCTGAAAATGTCAGAAATGTCTTGGAGACAGAAGGAGAGAAAGGGAGAATGCATTCTCTAAAAAGAGAAAATCACTTCTGTGACAGAGCTAAGGCACTGAAGCTCAAGAAGCCACAGCAGCTTTCATTCACTGGGGAAAGCAGCAATTCTACCTGAGCTGTCCTCTCCTTCAGTCTCTCGCACCTTAGCGTCCATCATCCTCGAGGAACTCATGTGACAGTCACTAAGAGAGGTAGAAAAAGTGTCAGTCATACCAACAAAATAACAGTACTTCAAATACTTCATTATATATACATATGTATATATACATACATACAGGAAGGTGCTAAATATAGAAATAGAAAGATATTAAAATAAAAAATAATACACTATGTATATGTTCTTATATAGAACTACATAGACAATATATGCCTAAATATAAGTATTGTATCTATAGGTAAATATGCATAGGATACAAAAACATCCCATGGGACAAAGCTTCTTAAGCTAAGGTATAATAAATTCCATAGTAAACCAATAGTACATTATGGCTCCGTTAATCAAAAAAACCTAGCCTATCCTGACTGAAAATTGAGTTTGATGAGATCCTTGAATGCTTCTAGAAGTATGCATCAAAGGAGGTGGATTTCTTTGAGACTCTCTCTCTGCACCTACTCAGGACCACAGACAAAATGTCTTTGTTATAATTAGAGCATCTGGGCAATGTGTACAAGTAACATTAGCTATCACACACATTTTAAATTTATTTATATTCAACTTGAAGTATTCTACAGATTCTAGTTTTTCTTCTTTCTCAACAATCGTGTGAAGGTAACAAAAGGTAACAACTTTTCATTCCTTTGTTTGCCTAGACAACAGAAAAATACAAATGAAATCAAAACAATCTATCTTCTTCTTTTCTTCTCTGCTTTTTGGAAGCAAAATATCCCTTTGCTCATTAAGGTTCCTAAATTAAAAAAAAATTTCCAAAACTGTACAAGTCCCAAGCCTGAGGACAGAATATCTGAAATTTAAAATGCATTTTCAGAGCAGTAGTCTGTTTGTGCTCTCTTTTCGTCATCTGGAAAACCGTAATTTCATGGCCAAGGCAGTATAAAGTCATGGATGCCACTGACTGGATGGCGAGGTACATGCTGCAGAGTAACTCTTTGGGCTGTAATGGTGACAGAGCCTCACACCACAGCCTAGGTGGGAGGGCGAGTATACCGCAGCTGTTTTGATCCCCTGAAGTACCTGCAGAGTTAAGTAACGAGGCTCATAAACTCAAAGAGTTGGTGAAATGGAAGTGAAACATTTATTACTGAAGTCTAGAACAAGACATATCACCTGAACCACAAGCAAGCACTTGAGCTGGGCCGTGATGAACGGCTGCACGACAACCACAGCAAAGGTTCCTCTGCTGCCCAGGGACTGCCCCATCAGCCAGACCTGCACACTGGTGGTAAAACACCCCCTGCCACCACCCATGAGGTAACCAAAATCAGAGCTGAACACAAAGACAAGGGACAGCAACTTTTGGTCAAGGACACTTGCCTTATGCAGTGAGAATTAGGAAGGAACTGGCCCTGGAAAAGAACAGACATGGAGGATACACATATTTTTAAAGTAAATATTCAGTGGGAGGTGACAGATACATATGTATCGTGGGCTGTGGCATATTTAGTCAACTAGTAAACAGGCTCGGGGTGTCTCAGATTCACGTTGTCATGTTGCAGTAGCGATGGCTGGAGCGCAGATCAATACCTCTAAAGCCTCAGCTGTTCTGTGCGTGCCCTGTAGCACTTATACGTTATCCACATCCAGAGGCGGGATCCTACAGTCTCCATATAAATTATGGATGCCATAACAGATCTCCAGCTATGGCCCACCGACATAGCTCTGCTGCATTCAGCTGCACTCAGGTGAAGGTGTATTTTTTTAATCCAAATGTTTATATGCCATACTTCACCAGCTCTGAATAGCAAAGGCATCAGGGCATAAATACTCACATAATGGAAATGTTAGTTTGAAACACGTTCCCTCTGGCAAAATTCAAGCAGATAATACATTATATTTCTGACAGTCTAGAAATGTGCTGTTGTCCCACCTCAAACCTTAGCAGCCAATTTTCTAGAGAATAAAAAAGATTAAAAAAAAGATTAGCTCCACCATAATGTCAGAGAAGATTTATGTGACTGACGTGTGACATCTGAGGTAATGAAGAGTGCATCTACTGAGTGTGCCAAACATTGGGGGACAGTTGTACGTTACCGGGGTGCAACACACATCTCCTCACTTTGGAGAAACAGAAAGACACTGAGCCCCAATGAGCTATCTCCTTGCCAGTCGTGTGTCTTCAAGCAAGATCCTCGCTCCCATGCAGTCATTCTTCAAGTCTGCCATGATTTTGCTGTTTTCTAAGAATATTTTAAGAATTGCTGTGTCCTTCCAAAAAATGCCAAAGATCTGGGGAAGGCAGCTCCCTATCGCTGTGCTTTTGGGGATGTCTCTTGCAAGGGCACAGTATAGGGTGCAGGACTGAAGCACCAGCTTGTGAGAAGGAGCCAGGTCCTTGGCCAGGTCCCACCACCACTGCTGGAGTTGTCCCTGGACGGCTCCTCTGTGGTGCCTGGAGGAAGAGCTGGCTGCTTCGCTGCAGGAGAGCTGCCGAAGAAATCCAGGTGATGTGCGAGGAGGAAGGTTGTTCCAGTAAGATGACTTTGGCTTGCAGCAGAAAGCGACCTGAGGTGTGGGTCAGAGACATCCGGGGTGGAGACACCGGGCACAAGCACCAGCAGCCTCAGCCTCCCGTGCAGGAGCCCAGAGACTCTGATGTCCTCAGCAGGGATGTGGCTGTTTTAAATTACAGTAAATAAATCCTAGAAGTTTGGGTCAGATGGGCAATATTGGTTTTGCAGTGGGGGGACTGTAAGGCTTTTATAAAAACTGCCTCTCAGCGTGCAACTACAAGGACTGGGGAACTGTGTGGACCTCTCACTGCCCAGAGCTTGCAAGTGGATATAGCTCAGATTTTGAGTTCAGAAGGCAAATTTCTGGCCCAAACCCTGGGTTTGCTGTGATTCTCCTAGGCCCACGCTGGCTGATGCACAGAAGGAGGAGGTGGAGGCAGTGGCAGCCCTTGCTGCAGTTGCTATGTTGTGCAAACACACCCCATGACCAGGACCATGCAGCGCCACCACTCACCCTCTGCAAAGGGTGAGGGAGGAGTTTTATGGCTGCTACTACCAAGGGGAGATTTGTTTGCATCAAGGGACAAATGGGCACCCACTTCCTTAACCTGAGGACAATGTGGGGGTTAGCAGATGACGGAGGGCACTGGAAGGACTTACAAAATGCATGGTGGGTGGCGCGCTATGGCTGGGGTTTCAGAAGTACGCTCAGAAGTCAAGAGATCATTTTTTAGCAAATCTTGGTTTTAGGCAAATACTGAAGCTGAGACGTAGCCACTTGCTTGAGTGCTTTGCCGAGTGACTGTTTCCAGTGGAGCAACATCCCAAAACCATGTGAAGAGACAGTGGTCCCTGCTGAGCATCCAACAGCTGCCACAGATCCCTCTGCACTGCTCTGCCCCTGGCTTAGGGTCTCACTGAACCTGGCTGTAGGCAGTGACACTCATTTCTACCTTAACATTTATGACAACGTTTTTATTGCCCTGGTGGGAAGTTGTTTTTCAACTCTTCCTTTGCTGACTGCTGTTAGAGAAATGCTGGGTTTCACCTGCTCACCACCCATCAAGAGATAACTCTACTTTCTTTCCCAAATATATGAACTTGGAGAACTGTTCTATCTGCATCTCTCCTTTTTCCTTTAATGTAACTTATTTTAACAATATCTCTAGGCAGGTTTTCAATCTTTCAAGCTTCTTCCTTAGTATCTGTAACAAACTCTCCAGTATTAATACCTTAATAAAATGAAAGATTTGATTAAAACATGATACTTAAGAGGAAAAAAACCAAAACAAGCCAAAGTTTACCCTTGGTATGACTATAACTGCTTGTCACTTCTCTGACATAATCAGAGACTTGATTATTTGCTCTGAAGCTAAATTTTATCTTCCTCAAAGCTTTTCCTGAAATGGCCTGCAAGTTTAATAGTTGTGCAACACAATGCTGATGAGATCCAGCAGCTTTGACTTGGCACCCACCAGCATGGGTGGCGTTCAGTGCACGCTTGTGCTTGGATCTGGAGGCCGGGCTGCAGGGCAGAGCTGCTGATCTCCCCCATTTCCAGATTCCCCAAAGACCTGCTGAAGTCCATCACTGAGGTAAATCACACTGTGACCTGAAGACTCAGCAGGATTCACATCCTAGAGGAGCGGGCTGCATCGCTGCTCCTCTGTTAGCAAGGGCCAGATTTACCATGCTGCTGCCAGTTGTACTCTTTTCTTCTTTTTTTTTTTTTCCTTTTCATTTTATGTGCGGCTCTTTTCACAGCAGAATACTAGAAAAACCTAGTTTATCAATTTATTATGAGATTTTATAAGCCCGAAATGTCTGATGATAGATTGCTATATATTACCTGAGCTTACAACAGTATTTTTTTCTATATTGGACTTTTCCCAGCAGAGACTTTTTCACTTTCCTTCTTTCTTCCCATACCCTTTCTCGATGAGCTAAGATACAAGAAATACAGCTGAGAGTACATAAGTGCAGAGAATAGAGGGAACATAGCAACACAACGGGTGTTTATTTCCCTTCCTATCCTTCCCAAACGCCAGCACATTCAAAAGTGTGTATCCAAAAAATTACTGCTGAACTGAACAACAGCAATTTACACCTTTTATGCCTGTGTTGTATAAGAATATTCTATTTCTAGTAGGCAAAGAATCATCAAGAATTAAAGTTAATTTCCAGAAATCTGAATTTAGGGAAATTATTTCACATGAGAGGAAGACCTGCCTTTTTCTCTCTCCAATATCATGATATACTCTTAAATTTCTACTGGTATTACACTGCCTTGTGGATCTGGGGAAGAAAATGCAGAGGTTCTGGAGATAAAAAGAAAACCCAAATACTCAGAAAGACCCCTCTAGCTGAAGTAGTAACTGAACTGAAAACATCCTAAACACCATGGATGCAGACTGAGGCAGCTTTTCCTCACACGCACCCCCTCTTTGAGGGTTCAGATCTGAAATGAAGGCACCATCCATGAGCCATGCAGCCCCTTCTCCTGTCATATAGACTTCGGAAAAGGGACATCTCCAAGCTTCCAGA